TGCCCCCCTCTGCGCGCGAGGCGGTGACAGCCGGTCACCTTTGCCCTTGCTGCCATCCTTGGCTTGCGTAATCCGCCGCGTGATCTTCCGCACTTCAAACTGCTTGGCCTTTTTGAGCGCCCGGTGGATGACCTTCAAGCGATGGTGCAGCCACTTGGCGCGCGCGGCGCCGCTGCGAGTGTGTATGCGGGTGCGCGCGCGCAGTGACGACGGCGGCGGGTCAGCTCGACTCGATGCCTTGCTGGAAGCCGCTGTTGCCCTGCACCACCTGCAGCTACAAATCTCATCCCTGTAAGCTGTAGCCGCACATGCGGCAGCTGCATGTGGATTGCACCTCGCTCACCCGCCATCTTTTGCCGCTTCGAGCTGCTTCTTTTTGGCCCAGTGCGGCAGCCGCTGCGGCTGCGCGTCGGCGGCAAGACGAGGACCGAAGGTGAGTCAGGTCGGCTGCGTTGCATGCGAACGCATAATACATTGTGACACTCTGCGTTACCTGCTGGCGCCGCCGGCCTCCCCCTGCTCCCGGTTTCGCCATCCTGCGAGATCACTGCAGGGCGTGTACAGGCATGAAATTATACGAGATGATTGTGTAGCTCGTTGGGTTGATATTGTGATGCCGCTTGTCCTGAGGCAGCCCCCTGACCTCCATCGGCCGACCAAGACTCATGTTCTGACCGTGCCGCCGACTGCCGCTGCCCCGCGTGGGATTGTTGAGCATGTGGTTCGTCACAAGGCCATTCAGCGGCATTCAGTAAGCTCCGATTGCTGACATGCAATCACCATTCAAGTGCAAGTGCCAGCTGCCTTGTCCATGCCGTGCCCTGAACAAGCGCTTCAGGTGGTGCCCATTCGAGGATGGGGACCAGCTGGGCCAGACGGCAGCTGGGCGATTCAAGTCCCATGCAAACTTCAAGATTGCACTAGATATGTAACACTGTTTCTAAGATGCATCAGAAGCGTAAGAATGAGGTTGACGGAATGGCCTCGGCCTGCAAGCGACAAGCTACACGGCGGCCCAGGGGCACCGCGCGCTGCCAGCCACCCTGCGCATGGAGAAGCGAGCTCCGAGACAGCGCCACTTCGCACACTGCTGTACTCAGCTCAGGCCACCAAGCGGCCTGTCCAATCGTCTCCGACGCAGCCCACCAGGCCGCAGCCCGCCTGGCAGGGCTTGCTGACGCGACCGTCTGGACCGTGACGCCTACCAGCCGAGAGGTGCCGCAAACTCTGCACAAGCGCCCCAACCCTGCTGCAGGTGCTTGCGGTGGTGCTAGAGCTGCTGCTACTGCTGCTACTGCTGCTGCTGTTGCGGCGGGCGCTGCTGCTGTTACCGATGGCGTTGCTGTTGCTGCCGAAGGCAGCTGGCCAGGGCCACATGCCGCAAACGCCCTGCCTGGGCACACCAGTGCCGCTTGGCCATTGCAGCGCTGTCCTCGGCGCCACAATACACACCAGCGGATGGCCCACGCCCCGCTTTTGGCCCCTACTGCGACCCCTTGCTGTCGCCGCCGCCGCCAGGGTGCCGCTGGGGGACCCCTGCATACTTCTGCTTGGGTGTAAAGCAGGGGTGGGCAACAGCACGGGGAGTGATGAATGTGAAGTGTGCGGGCGCAGGTGGGCCAATACCCGGCGGTGTGACCTAGGCGAGCAGGCGGTAATGCAACAGCAAGCGCACGCTGCAGCTGCATATGCAGCATTGTCCATTGCTTGGGCCTTCCCCGGTGCAAGCCAAGGGGCAGTCGCTGCCCCCAAAGGAACGCCGGCAGCCCCGCTGCCATCGCTCCTTGTCGCCCGTCTGCCGGCCCCTCACTTTTTTGCCGGTTGAGAATGGTAGGTACTTGTATTTGATCATGTGCTTTATCCGGGTCTTCATGGTAACGAAGAACAGCGCCAAAAAATAGAGCATGAGGATCGGCCAGAACACGGGCACATCGAAGACGTCGAACAGGGTGAGGGCCAGCCCTATCATGACTGACCGGACAGACGCCCACCTGGCCAGAGGTGTGTGTGTGTGTGTGTGTGTGTGTGTGTGTGTGTGTGTGCGTGCGTGCGCTGTGCGTGTGCACTCATGCATGTGCATGTGGAAGCTTGTGAAGTTATGTACAGTGCTTGTCGCCAGCGTGCAGCGCTTCGCAGCCTGCACACGCCCTGCGTTTCTGCTGCGTCGCGGTGACAGCTGTGATTGCCCTTGTCAACGCCGCGCGTTTGACTGGGCTGCCACCGCCCATGCACCGCGCAAGCTACCCCCCTCTGCCGTTTCACTCACCAGAACTTGAATTCTGGTAACCTTCGAACGAAGGGCCTAAACTCCTGATCAGACTTGGTGGGCAGCGCCAAGCCGTCCTGCTCCTGCTCTGGGTCCACTTGTGGCGTGATGAAGCCAAGCAGCAGGTTGAGATTGTAGATCCCAAGACCGTAGGTGACGATGTAGAAGCCCGCCAGAAGGTACACCCGCACGCAATACAGCAGCAGCAGCACTCCCCATACGGCCCATCTCGGTCCGGAGTGGGGAGTGCTCTTGTCGAGGAGCCGCTGCAGCCGCTGATTCGCCTGTGAGAATGCTGTGGCTAAGGGATTCTCCGGGGCCTCTTGCTCGCTCATAGGGCCGCCCTGGGCTCAAAAGCGAATCCCGCTGCAGGTCCTCGCGAATCAGGAGGCTGCTACACGTTCAGGAAATGCAACTCCTGTTACTCTGCGTGCTAAAAGTTGCACAACTCTTTGAGATGCACAAGGCGGGTGCAACTGACTTGAGTGATCTGTCCGCGTTGTGCTGCTGTGCGCTGGTTAAATGCCTGCAACGAAGAAATTTAATAGCAGTTAGAAAGAAGTTGAGGGCCAAAACAATCAGCGTAGCTATCTACGCGAAGTTCCTGGTGCTCATGTGCGGTGCCTCGCGCATTTTTGAACGGCCGGGTGCAAAAGCGTCCGGCAGTCACCTTTGCCGTCACCTCTGTGGCTCACGTGCAGCAGCCCCGCCTGGGTGTGCTGCTCGTAATTAGGCTGGTGCGCACCAAGCCGGTCAACACATCGACACGGTCCAAGTAGGCGGTGATGCACTCAGCAACTGCAGGCGGGGGCCGTGGGCCCAGCCATCTAGGACGGCCTGAAGCCAGACATCATCAGAAGTCGGATTCTGACGACCAGTCCTCGAATCTCACCGGCTGGGCGCGCAGCACGGCATGGCGAGGTGTGACGCATTGGTGCAGGGGGATTGCGTGCCGCCGCTGCCCCACAGATTCTGCCAGGCCCCACATCCATCAGCAGACCACCAGCCCTGAAGCCACTGACTGCTGATGTGTTGATCAAATCGCGCCCCGTCGCTAGCAAAGCAACCGAACGGGCAGCTGCACCGTCACGTTGCCGCCCTCGGTGCGCGCTCATGCACAGCCTGGCTGGCCGTGGACGGCGCCGTGGCGTGGCTGTTTGGGCTGGACGAGAGCAAGTACCAGTGGGCGATCGACCGCTTCCACGTGCAGCAAGCAGAGGTGGGCGCAGACGAAAGGGCCCTTCAGTGCAAGCTGACGCGTGCAAGGCTCAGCAGGCAATCTGTGTGCTGCTGCCCATGCCAGTGCAGTTTGCAGGTCTAGGCTTGCGCAGCTGGCGCAAGCTCGCAATCGCAGCCGAAACCAACACACCAGCTATTATCCAAATGACCACGCAGTCGCCGTCGTCAGCAGCTGCCCATGCAGCAAACAGCCGGCAGTAACACTCTATGTGCGCTACCTCGATCTGCACTTGTGCCTTGTAGCTGGCCCTGCGAGCCCGGGCGTACGATGGAGAGCTGTCGTCGTCGGCACCACACGTAGCGCCTGGCTCCAAGGTGCGCCCGCGGTGAAGGCGGCCTGCAGCTGCTCTTGCGGCGCACCACTGCGGCTGCGCCAGCACGGAGCCACTGCAGCGACAGTGCAACACACACACAGGACGGGCTTGTTCATGAGGGGCCGTGCTTTAAACAAGAGACGCCCAACAGAACCAAATGCCCTTGTGCCACAGGTGATGCGCGTGGACGAAGAGAACCCAGTTGTCTCTGCTGCCTGTGGGAACCGGCTGCCAACGGGCCGGTAGCGCGTGGGCTGAAGCCTGTGTGCAGCACCTGTGCGTTGCGGCAACTACCAGGCGTTTGTCACGCTGCCTGGCCGGCCTCGAGTTGGGCTGGTGCAGCACGGACATCCAATTAGGAAGTGGGGCTACCAATGCACCGATTCCCCGCTTCGCTTGCTCAATCACAACAGCTGCTGCGCCCTGTAAGCGTTGCGTATGGGCAACAGTAGCCACCAGATCCCTGCCGCTTGTTGACCGGTGGCACTTGGCTGCTGCACTTGAAGGAATTCAGCAATCATTTTTCGACACAAATTCAGGTCTTGCTCGCTGTTCTTTGACTTTACAGGCATTCCACAGACACGAGCCATGTGCAGATGAGTGTGGGCGAATGGGCAACATGTTCACGGAGTGCCCAACGTGGCTGGGGCGGAAAGTGAGGAGAGACGGGGCGCCTCGGTGAAGTTAAGTTCCGTGAGATGTGCATGCCACATATGTGGACTAATGTACAGCTGCACTTCAAACCAGTCGCGTTGTCCCGCTCCATGGTCAACGTACTCCTGCCGTCATTCCTGTGCAAACGGTGGGCTTGCTGTCCACTGTGTACCCTGCTGGTGCGTTCTGAAGGAACACAATAATAGTGACACATCATCTCATCCCATCACGTGTCAAGCAAGCGCCCTCCCAATGGGATGGCAAGCTACTCAACGTTTAACGGCGACTGATCCGCTTATCACGCTATATAAAATGGTGCATAATCACTCGTGAATCATAACGCGCCGTGTATATTGCTGCTTCAAGCCCCCACCTGATCTCGGATCGTCGGATCCCCCTCTCCTCGCTTGAGAACCGCAGCCCCCCCTGCCTTGATAGCACATGCTCTGCAGCGTGGTGCGCATCCAGGGAGCCCGCTTGAGCACCGCGCACGTTCCTCTCTCGGACGGCATCTGTACACAGGTGCGCGCGCTCACTTTTGGGCCGGCCGAGCCACACACTGGCGTGCATCGCTTCGGCCGTGATGGTACCGTAACACAGAGCCCCCCAAGCCCTTGCATCACATAAGATGTTTGCTCCCTGAACGATGCGGGCACGACGACGGGTCGTATTTGCCATGCGTCGCCAGTGGTCCGAATGCAGCTGTAGCTAGGTAGCCCCACGGCAGCTGGGCTCGCCACTGCGTGCATCCACCCCCCCCCTGGGCCCCACGACGCAGGCTCCCTGAGGCACCTGCGCACCAGCACCCGCGCCGCGGCCGCGATGGAGAAAATCACCTTCGGCGACGGCCTCCCCGGTTACGAGGCGGGGCCCAAGGATGCTCCTGCGGTGATAGTGCTGCAAGAGTGGTGGTGCGCGCAAGGGGCACCACTGTGGGGGCTTGGCGGTTGGAGAGCAGCGGCGGCGGCCAAGGAGGCGGCGGCAGTTGGGTTTATGCCTATGGCGCCCGGCTTGCCTGCGAATGCAAGTGGCGAGGGGGCGATTTTATCCCGCGGGGGGCGGCCGCGCTCTCGGTCACGCACGCCTCATCGCACATGCGCATGCGATTCCGCATCAGCTGTCGTCACCCGCTTCTCTGCTCCCGATGACCATGACTCAGGGGCATCACTGACATCATCAAGGACCAGGCCCTCCTCGTCAGCAAGGTGGGGCACCGCCGTTCACAGCTTCTCAGCAGCTGCTCACATGATGCAGCGGCGGGCGGCCCCAGCACTCGGCCCAGTGGCGCCAGCCTTTCGCAAGCCGCCGGGCCTTCTCTGCCACCGCATCTGCTCGCTGGCTACCCCCGTACAGCCTTTAGGACCCGCTCCACACCTCTCTGATGCTGCCGCTGACGCGTCACCGACCCTCGCACCACCAAGCTCCAACCCCACATGGTAGTCTCGACACCAGACCCACCCCACCCC